TATAAGAGCATATCCATACTATTGTCTCGTCCAAAGGTCGGGATGTAAACCTACGAATTGCGGAAATGCTATTTGTTTGCGTGTTCGAGAATCTAGACATATGCCTCAACTAATCAAACTTACAATCGCGGCATTACAAATATCTCCTAGTAACGCAGAAGTTGAAACAAGTTTCTCGTATTATAAAAAGATTCTTCGGCGAGATAAGAGTTCCGTGATGTTACGGGAAAATCTAGCAACACCAGAGAGAGAGGGACGTGAAAGACAGACGGTCCTGACTAATGTATAAGAGTGGAGATCGTCCGGTCCAAGTAGGACCTTGAATAAAACATTCAGAGTAAGTGTCTGTATTCCTGTCTCGCGGGTGGTCTTAAGTGCGTCACAAAGGGCGTATAAACATTAAGTAAACCACATAAAACACGCGACAGAAAAAACCTAGAAATCTAAATATATAAAATTACTTGTCCTGACTGACTGAGTCACTGATTGATTCATCATCGCCCAGAGCAAATCGCTGATCCTAAAAAAGTGAAATTTGGTACATAGTTAGGGTACGCCATGAGAATGCACACTAAGTAGGGATTTTTCGAAATTCCCCCGCGGGGGGAGAGGGAAAGCATTAATGCTTAACCTGAAGAACGGCTTTTGAAATTGATTCCCATACTTTCCCTTAAATTGATAACATTTCAGACATTGTTATAAATATTTTCATATACAGTATTTCGATTTTTTAACTAAATGTTCGAACCGTTTTAAATTCGAATTTGTTATTGCATATTGGTTCGATTATAGAACGATCGTAAACGTTCCAGAAAATTGATCAAATTGAAAACAGTTCGTTTGATTCTCAGCAATTCTCATCATTCTTAGCGGTAGGTGTAATATAACAATTACTATGATTGTTGAAATACTGAATATAAATGGGGTTTGCTTGAAAAATCCGCTCGGGCGAAGTCGCGGGTAACAGCTAGTATTACTAGCGGCCGGATGGCCGAGCGGTCAAGGTGGCAGCCTACCGCTCTGGGGGACCCGGATTCGATTCCGAACGGGTCGAAAAAATCCCCAGGAAGTTTTCGGGGGGGTGGCCCGTTCAGATATGTCGGGCCCCGTCCCTCACCACCCGGCAGCCTCATTGTGGGCCTGGCCGAACCCATAATGGGCTTGCAAAAAGAGGCCCTCTTAGTGCCCACAGGGCGGAAAGAGTTTAAAAAAAAAAAGCTAGTATTACTGTATATATATTTATGATTGAATTTCCACACATCTGGATAGTATTGTCGATGTGGTGAATCAAGAATACTCAGAGGAAAGTGTCCAGAATGGATGTTTTTAATACAAATTATTTTTTAGAAAAATAAAATCGAAAGTCGAATCTTTAATCAAATTATGTATGTAAACTGAAAGAAAATAAATAAAAGTAGGCTATGTTACGTATTATTATATTGCTCATTTCTCAAACTACTAAAAAATGCAAGTAAAATTAACCAAAATTGCATATTACGCAAATATCATTGCTTAAAATTTGCATAATTCTGGTCGCTTTACTTATAACTTATGTGAGTTATGAGTGGTAAATTATATTTAAATATGATTTTTAGTGCCTAGTGCACTAGCCTTAGGGGGGTTTGGAAATTTTAATAATTACAGGAACGTTTAGAAAATGTAACCCGAATAACCAACGGCGTATTTTTTTAAAACTCTTTCCACCCTGTGGACACTAAGAGGGCCTCTTTTTAGTCAGCCCATTATGGATTCGGCCAGGCCCAGAATGGGGCAACCGGGTGGTGGAAGACGGGGCCCGACATATCCGGACGGACCACGACCCGAAAAATTCCTGGGGATTTTTTCGATCCCGGTCCACCAGAGCGGTAGGCTGCCACCTTGACCCGGCCGTCAGTAAAAAGATATCAGGAACGACAGCGATTATTTGAAATTACCTTGTTATATAAATAGTTATTTTAATTTTTGATTATTATATGCAAATATAATATTAAAATAAAATTATAATTAAATATATTTTAAACGGATTTCATAGATTTACGAAAATTTAAAATATGCGCGGGAATTTGTTGCAGTGTTATTGGCAACACTGGTATGATAGTTGGTGGATTATCACGCGCAAAGACTTGTTTGAATTTATAAATATGAGACGATAGTAAACATGAGTCTTGAAGATTTACTTACGTATTTTGAACGACATCATCCAGAATGCTTTAATCTTGTTAACTTGCCCGAGGAATGTGTTAAGAATGGAAAGAAAATACGATTGGTTATGGACGTGCAGAGTTGTTTACATCGTCTCTACGGTGGCTATTACAACGATTGGGTATGCGGTGGGCAATGGAATAAATTAGTAGAATACATCAATAAATTATTCCGTGCATTAAATTCGTCAAATATAGATCTAACTGTAGTATTTAATGGCTGTGCAGAGAGTGATAGGATTAACCAATGGAAAGACATTCAAGACGTTCATAAACGGAAAGCTAGACAAATTTTAAGTCACGTGGCTGCCAAAGGAACTCCTCCGCCTAAAATTTGGTGGTTATCTCCTGTGTGTTTGCAAACGGTACTCAGGTCAATAATTCAAGCTGGTGTGAATGTGTTCTGCACATTGGATGATCATCATAAAGAACTTCTTCAATTTTATATTCAAAATAAGTGTGATGGAATTATTTCCGATGATTTCGAGTTTGTCGCTTTCGGTATTAAGTCCTATTATGTCGGAAGTAGTTTTAAATTTTATAAGGTATAGTTATTTTATATATAGTATAATAGTGAAGATAATAATAATGGTATTTTTTGGTTAACGGGACGCCGGAAGAATGTTGCGTTTAACAACTTAATCCGTGTGTCTGTGCCGGCTTTGAGTAGCCCACTTGACTGTTTGTGGAGTACTTGATGCTATATAGTTTTAGGGGGAATGTGGGGGCTTGCCTTCACCCGGGTGCTGAGGTGTGAGCGATAGCAAGCATCGAGGTGTACGTCTACGTGTGAAGCATGCAGAAAAGGTAGTAGACTGATATGTGTTAAAAACTGATCTTTGGAGACAAATACCTGTCAAAAGGTCAACAATTCTGGCGGTGGTGTAAAACTCCTCATTCAGAGCTTGAATCTTACCTGTTCGTGTACGTATCGGCTGGTGTCCCGTTAACCAAAAAGTACCGTAATAGTTGTGAAGATGTTTATATACTTGGAAATGGAGACGACATTGAATCCATGGATGAGGGTGTGGTATATAGATATTTAGGATTCCATCAGGCCAAACTCATAAAATGTATATAAATAAAACAGACTAATGAAAGAATATAATAGCAGATTAAACCAGGGCTGTGGAGTTTTGGTGTTTTAGCCGGAGTCGGAGTCGGTAGATTTTTACGCGACTCCACAGCCCTGGCAGGACTGTGGAGTTGGGGTTGTGGAGTTTTGGTGTTTTAGCCGGAGTCGGAGTCGGATTGCTAAGGAAAAGCCGGAGTCGGTAGATTTTTACGCGACTCCACAGCCCTGGATTAAACTCAAACAATAAGCCATTAAATTTAAACAATACCGACCTGAATTTAACACAGTACGGACACCATCGAGTAGTCTTGGATTCAAAACCAACTCCATGATAGGCATCGTAACAATCTTGGCAAGGATCGCATTAACAGAAGTGCATCAAACTGCTGGCTGACTCATGAGAGCTGCTTTAGACAGACAAAAGGGTTCATGATTGCCATACAAGACCAAGATCATAAATACAAAAAACACACTTCAAAAGACAACACTTACAGGTGACTTTTGTAGGAAATGCCACATTGTGTATGAGACTATAAAAGCTTTTGGCACAAACAGACCTGAGGTTTCTGCATATTTATATGTGTGTGACAATGTCAGGTGAGCTTTGGCCCAAGAGGTGGCAACTCCTCAGTATCTTTTTGTTTCTGATGTGCCTTTTTGGAAGGTGTTGCAAATCTATAAGATTATGCCTATCAACTTAAGAAAAACTCCATTTATTAACTCTTTAGTGGGCATGCCTTTTAGAGTTTAATGAGAGGATGTGTTGTGGCTATTACACTGCATATGTAATATTACTTCATATCCTCTAATATTTAATTTCTTTTTTTAAAATGCAGATGAAATAAAAGAGTGAATTAATCTTAGAACTTTTTATTGAACAAATGCAGTTATAAAGCATCTAGATACTTAAAAATAGGTCATTCCATCTCTATCTGTTGCTCACTTTTAAACATAGCACATTTAGTGATTACATGAATGTTTCTTGCAGACATTTTTACCACATTCCTTGACATCAATTTTGTTCTACTATTCTCGTCTTCTATAAAAAGTCATCTATCTCATAAGCCATAAGTTCAGAGTTACTTTCACAATTATCTTGTATAATCTGCTCTTCTGACTCAATTTCAGTGTCATAATCAGTCTCTTCCGTTCTTCTCTTTCTTTTATCAATTCCCTTATAACTTGTTCTAAAGCTCCATCCAACTCTTCCTAGATCAAAGCTCTATGAGATCTAGAAATATCACAAAAACATAAGCATCTTGAAAGCTGTTTGGTACTGTACATTTTCTAATATAATTCTAAGAATTTATTGAAACCTATGACATTGTTAAAGATATTTATGCAATCAGTATGCAAAAACTAAGCTTCTCTTTCAAATACATTAAAAAATATATTAAAAAGTAAATGCAAATTATACTTACTTTGCAAAACATGTAGCTTGAAGAACACAGATACAACATTTAATTCAAAACTCATAAACAATTAAATGGTTAGAAACGAGAGTAACTCGGTGATGCATGTAGTGACATGTTACTACATGCATCCCTGAATAGAAAAGAGTAGAATGAATAGAAAATACTGAAGTGTGCTTCCACACCACCTTAGTACATCATCTTAAACAAGACTCTATCAACATTTGATGCCCACTGAAGGCTTAAAGCTTAACTTTGTTTATATGAGCATTTCCCTAATTACTGGTTTGTGAGAGAGAATTACAAAGTGTACATTATCTTACAATTATCATTTTCAGCTTTGTTCAATAGCAGATTAATGACTTAATAAATCTGTCAATAAGTCTGTTTATTCACTCATTTCTGGGCACTCTCACCAGGCATTTCTGTTTTGTATTTCAGAACTTTGAATATTGGCCCTCTTGCCTTGTCTTCTCTGTTGGCAGGCTTTTCCCTTTTGTCTGTAATCTGTCAAATTGTCAGAATACCAAAACTTGACGTGTGCACAGTGTTAGAGAGACTTCTCATGGTCTATAACTTTTCACTTTTTTATTTTGATGCATCCATTATCCACAATAGACTAATTGCCATACAGGAATATATTCTCTGCATGGTGTCTCGTTATTGTTAACATAAAAGTAATGTTTTCTAATTTTAACATAATCTTTTTCTCATAGTATTGACTTAACCAAATAGCAAATATAATTCATCAAAAGCATGCACACAAGTGAACTGCTACACACCCAGGATTCATATTACAAATACATTCCTAAAGTGGTCTTAGAAAACAACAGACAGCAAATATACTTTGCCATGCATTAATTACAGACAAAACAATCTAACACAATAGATGAGACATCACATTAATTAATCAACAAAACAAAATCACATACATCATGGATGTAGTTGTATCAAACACTTACAATTTACAAAATATATAATACCAACCAAAAAATTAGTAAATACTCAGAATTTGTCCATGAAATAAAGTGCCTTTGGAAAATGGATAAGGTACATCTTGCACCAGTATTCCCTTCTTGTACAGGCATCATACCACATACACTATACAAAAGTCTAAAAACATTAGGACTTCACAAAAGCACATACATCACATTACAAAAATCTGCCATTCTAAACACAAGTTATATAGTCATGAAATTCTTAAACACAGATGCATACATGAAGAGCATGTAAACATATTACTGTAATTATTTGTTTTGTAGTTATGCTTTGATCCTGGTCCAACATAGTACTAAGCACTGGTATGTGTGCTGTATAGGATACATTCCATCAACATCACTATAATAATAATTTTAAAAATCTTTTGTTTGATCTTTGTTTAAAATTATATCAATTTTAAAAAAAATTACTCAAATGAATAAACCAACAACAAAAAATCTTACATTGAAATCCAAACACTTTTAAATTTGGTTTATCATCATCAGCCTGATGATGAGTCTAGAGGCTTGAAAGTGGTCAGGATACAACATAAATATTTTTGTTGTTGATTTCTCCATTAAAGTATTTTTTAAGGAATAAGGAAGTATTTTTTGTTATTATATTTGCCAAACTCAATAAGACTCAATCTCCAAACTTTTCTTTAAAAATTATTGGGTATAACCAGGTAAGTTCCTTGATTAATGCAGAATATATATTTCATGCTAACTCAAATGGGGTTAAGTTTCAATTTGATATAGTTGGCATGTTTTTTAGCTGTATTATTGATGCGTTAACTCAAATATTTTGGCTTTTTTATTTTTGATATATCCAACAGTTCCTGTTTTAACTTTTTTGTCATTATATTCCTTTTTCATATAAAAGTGATTAACCAGTGATTATGCACAATCACCTTGCATCATCTTGGCGAGTTTGTTAAAATTTCATTAAATTTCTCACTTTTACCAGCGATTTTACATAATTCTCAAATGAAGTTGGTAAATTTCATACATATAATTGAATATATCACTTTTAAAGTGATTTTTGCATAGTTTCCAAAATTTAATTCATAAATTTGATAAATATGATAAAATTTTCCATGTTTTGTTGTTTTAATAAAGTAACTAATGAATTTAAACAAATTTTAATAAAATGAATCAAAAGTATATTTTTTGTTTTATTAATATTAGAATGATTTGATGAATGTAAGGAAACTAAACAAAACTGTGCAAAAAATATCAAAAAATCTGTTGGGAAAAAATATACAACAGTGATAATTCTTACTGCTTATTCAAACATGGCAAAATATAACGTTTTGAGTTACATAATTTTTCATTTTTTTTGCATTTGCATTTGGTTAAATTACACTTTTCTTTACATAAGTTCTTTTGGTACCCCCTGAGGCCGAGACTCCACTACATAAAAGCGAGTTGAACACTGCTCAGCTCGCTTTTACGCTGGTTTTGCGACCTGCTTGGGCGTAAAATATCAAGGTCACGTGATTAAAAGCTTTTACGGCGAGGGGTTTTACACCATTTTTACGGTAGTGGAGTCTCGGCCTGACTTTATAGAATTGATATTTTTCTTGTGCACTCCCTAAGAGAAAGAGTGATATTTGGTACATTCTCTACTGTAAGATATTGTTTGTCACATAGCACAAACTGGTTTCTGGTATACAATTGTGAAAAACATTCCATCTTTGTTTCCAAGTGATAGTACTCATTGTTTTCAGTAACTAATATTACTGCCAATATATTCCATGGATCTTCTCCTGCCCTGTCTACATCTGGTATTCTTAGCTTCACTATATCTCCTACTTTGGCTGTGGCAAATTTTGGCTCTGATACTTTCTTCATTTTCTTCACTTCAGCTTCTAAAACTGTCTTTGCATTTGCTTATTTCATCTCAACTTCTTCCTTTCTGGTCTTGATTGTAGAGAGACTGATCACTTCAATATTAGACTGTATTTTGTCAAATCAGAGATAGTCATGTCAGGTTGGTTGAGTGATGACTGTTCATTTTGAATATTTTCTCTGAAATATTGTCATTGGATCCTTCTAATTGACATCGAGTTTGATCATGT